GCAACATATTGATTGGCTGTTGCGCGGACTTCCACCGCGCGGCAAGCATTGCCGCGTCCTGTATGCAGGAGCCATAAGAAGACATGCACTTTCTTTCGCATAATACTCACCGCTGATTGGCTACGCCATTTTGTACTCACTTGGCCCACCTTGACCAGTCTCTTCTAGGGTCTCTATCCAGCACGAAACAAGCACCATGTTACATTAAAGCCGCTGGCTTTAAGTACATAGGGGAAAATCTTCCAAGCGACACTAGCGACATTGAAACATGACACGGAAATGATCACTAGAGTCGTATCTATATCACATTTTGTCGAAGGTCAGTTTTCACACCGGCGCGCGCGCAGGGAAAGAGAAAGCACAAATAGTGCATCTGTGTCTGCATCGAAGATCGCCTACGAAGATTATTGATGACATCTCGTTGATTCACACACGCATATATGTTTGGCTATTAAACGACGAGATTGTGTAACGCGGCAACATCATCGACATCAAAACAATACTCGCTAGCTTCGCGCAATGCAACCTCCCTACTGAGACGTTCTCATCTTGCCAGCTTGTCGTAAGAAAAATACAAAGAGAAGATTACAAAGTGAGAGTCATTCGGTTGATTCATTAGAAGTCGTTGCGTGTCTTCTCTGTGGTAGTCCTTTTTTTTCTTAGCCGATGATAATGGATGATAACAAGCAGGTAGGTGATACTTCTAGTAGCGAGGTTGCTAATCGATTTCGAAGCTGTAGGGATCTGAGCGACATCGTGCCGTTATATCCGCCACTTTATCTGAAACCACTTGCCAAAGTTAACGTGTCAGTCAATCTGCCCCAACTGAAGACCCCAGGTAAAACATCATTGTCAGTATCATGGCATCTCTATCAGTGGTCCTCTCCTCCTTAGAGGTTGGATCATAACCTTCTTATTCTCTCTTCTATGTTTCTCTTTCTGCCTTTACTCAATATGACACCTTGTGAGGAAGGTCCAGATAGACTAAAAAATATTAACACAGTATTGTTTTGCTGTTGTTTATAGTGTCCTGAAGACAAGATTCTGCAATATTCTGCAATATTCTGAACTCTATAACTTTACAGTAATATTTTTACTTAGAAAAGTAGTTTATATGCATTCTTTATAGAAAGCTTGTTAATAAAGCTTGATAAATAAATTGATGATAAGGGAAATATATATGTATGTATGCATGTATATATATATATATATATATATATATATATATATATATATATGTGTATGTATATGTATACACATATACATATATATATATATATATTTCTTTTATTTTTTGCATTGATAGGTTTTAATTGTAACTTTTCACATGCTGTACCATATCCAGGTATATGTAGAAAAGTATAGTTCAGCGCTAACTTGTTCAGTATTCTTCAGGAATGCTGAATTTAGTCTGCGATTGGTCCTTCTCGTATCATCACTTCAATTAGTGATCCATTTATCTTTCTTTGGTATTTATTGAACAGATGAAAGTAACTTGCCTGTTAATTCGAAATTCTCTTCGATACAACGAGTTTATTGCATCGTCGCAGTCGCACTCTAGCGCTCGTACACTCGACAATTTCTACCACACTGCAGGGAAATTACATATCGTTCAACCAATGGAAGAAAGAAATCCCAAGTGATCCGTGCGAAGCCACGAGCACTTGTAACGTTCGTCTCGTAAAGATAGCTTCTTACAGAAACTTAACTGCGCTATAAACAGGAAAAACAATATCAACATGGGAGGTAATGGAGAAGATACGCAAACTTATATTGCCGGACGAGTTTACGTCCCTGAAGGTGGCCAAGAGCACCTTAGAATTTATCCGGCTGGAGGGCGACCTGCGGGACCGATGCAGGTTGCCGAGCGTGCTGGCCAGATTGGATTCGCAGGGCTTGAATCTGGCCGGCTTTACGAACATTCTCAAGGTATAATGTCGAGTACAGTTTTGCACTTTTGTAAAACTTCGATTTCATTATCGATAATGATCTTCGAATTATGTGCTTGAAGAGCACAGTGTATTGATAATTGCGTGCATTACACGTAAATAATATCGTATCAAAGCTACTTAATTTAGGCTAAGAGCACATAAAAAACGTAAGCGGTTAACAAATTTACCGACCATAGTCGATGATCCTTTTTATGGCCCAAAAATAATCGATTGTGATTGGTCAATTTCCTTACTGCTTATGTTTTTCTGCGTGCTATCCACTTTAATATCCTTGACGTCAAGGTCCGTGCGGCCGAAGCAAAGGACGACTTTCCGACCAGACACGACTGGGACTCCTACTTCAGGGACGCAAAGCACATGAACGAGTTGAAGGCTGGCGAAAGGCCGGACACCATCCACATTTCTGGCCTGCCGATTAAATGGTTTATTGAGGATGACTCGGACACTCCGAGCGAGTCGTTGATCACCAAAATCTTCAAGAAATGGGGCACGTTGAGAAGAATCGATGTGCCCGCCGCGGATATTTACAGGTCCAGAATGCGCCTCGGTAACAACATTCATAAGTTCAGTTACGAGGAAGGAATATATTTTGATGTGTACGTACAGTACGTAGAGTACATGGACTTCGTCAGCGCAATGAAAGCCTTGCGCGGCATGAAACTGTTGAAAAAAGATGGGCAAAACTCGCTAACAGCAACGATGAAGGTATAACCAGTGAAAAGTACGATGCCTACCATAAGCTTAGAGTGTCTTTAGAAAGGAAAACGTTAATCTTGAAAAATAATTTGAATTTTATTGAGGCTGTATTCTTTATAACACTGGTTTATCTGTCGGTTTAACGAAATAATCCCGCACAGGTCGATTTTGACAAGACCAAACACATGAGTGATAATTCGGTATCACATCGAGAATTTGAGAGAAAGCGCTTAATAGCGCAAGATAATTTAGCGGCGGAGAAAATGCGACGAAAAGAGGAAGCAGAAAAGAAACGGCGAGAAGAGCAAAAGTAAGCATAGATACGACGTAACCTGAGAGTTATTGTCTTTTTATATTGTCTTTACTTTTGTCTTAGAAAAAAGGAAGAAGCAGATTCGGTGGCAAAAGCAAGTCGGCAGCGAAAGCGAGAGGAAAACCGAAAACGGAAGGCTCTCAAAATGTTTCGCAAGCAGGAAGAAGACAAAGTGTCCATGAAAATAGCCAGAGAAGAACAAAAGTTAATAAAAGCCCAACGACAGTTGGAAAGTATGCGATTGTTAGATGAATTGTTTGATAGAATAAAGGTAGGTAAAGAGAAACATGCGATCAGAATTTTTCAAATAAACAGTTAAATAGAAAAGCGGCATTAATTATAAACACCTATAACATTGTAATCGTAGATTAAAGTGGAAAAGAAGGAGATTAAGTTAGGTCAAAATGTGAATGCAGAAACGAGAAAGGATGAGAAGAAATGCGACCAAATGAGCGAAAACGCTAGTAAATTAGATTCGGAAAATGACAAGAAAAATAAGAAAGAAGATGTCAAGAAGAAGAAAACGAAAAAAGAGAAAAAGAAAAAGGTGTTTCGTCAAATATTTAATCTTATCTAAAATTTATTGTGCCGATTCTTGTCATTGTTGGTCATTTATAGTTATATTCTTTAGAAATTATATAAATTGGAATTGTAATTATTTTTTGTAGAAAAAACAGAAGAAAATGCAGAAAAAGCGGAAAAAGGATGACGATTCTGGGTCAGGTAGTACTTCAGAAGATTCTGATAAGGAGTCAAACAAGAAAAAGCTCAAGAGTGTTTTGACAAAGAATAATTGCACGTCTTCGTCCACGGGTAAATCTTTACCGTATAAAATATGTTTATTAACATACACAACTGTAGAATAAAATACATACACATATATAGACGTCCATGACGACATCGATTGAAGGTGTTGTTGTTTTAGGCGTGACTCTTCCTTACGCCGACGCCTACGATCCGATACAGATGCTGAGGATACCGATGTCGAGATATCCGCCAATGTCGCCAGGAATGCAAATGATGAGAATACCAATGTCGAGGTATCCAGCAACACAGATGCTGAGAGGGCCAATGGCAAGGTATCATCCTATATCATCTGTGCGTAGGGGTCGAGGATACTTTCCGCGATGTGATGTGGGCGCTTGGACCAATCCTTACTTGTACAACGAGGATTATTACGAATATTTCACGCAGATAGTTAATCAAGACTCGAAACGGCGGGAGCCTAAAGTACGTCGGAAGTCGATGAGCAGATCAGCTTCGAAAACGAGGAATTCGAAAACTAGGTCTAGCAGTAAGACAAGAGACAGAAGCGTTTCTAGATCTCGCAGCAGGAGACGCAGTGGCTCGCGTTTCAAAAATAGCAGCAAGAGATCGAAATCAACTTCCAGATCGCGCTCCAGATCGCGATCGCGCCGTTCGAGGTCCAGACGAAAATCGCGTTCTAGAAGCCGCTCAAGATCGCGCAGTCGGCGAAAATCAACGAGCAGATCTGGCTCGAGAAGAAGGAGATCGGAATCGAATACAAAGCGTAGAAGCGCTACTAGATCACGCAGCAGGAGACGCAGCGGCTCACGTAACAAGCGTCGTAGCAGTAGGTCGGATTCGCGATCTAGAACGCGTCGCTCAAGATCCAAACGAAAATCACGCTCCAGATCGAGGAGGAGTCGTTCCAGATCTCGCGGCAGTCCCAGGAATCGTTACAGGAGGAGACACAGTGGCAGATCTGCTTCCGTTGTCAAAGTCACACGAGCAAAATCGCGAACCACATCGCCTAAACGAAGATCGCGTAGCAGTTCTTGGTCTATGCCGAGATCTCCAGGTCGAAGAAGTTGTTCTTGGTCGAAAGCTGTTTCCGAAACTAACGTTAGCGAGAACGTGAACAAAATATCGGACACAGCGACCCAAGAGGAACCAATAAAAACGATAGAAGCGCAGCAAGAAGTACTCGAGAATTAAAAGGACTCAAAATCATTAGTGTTTAAAATGTAATGTTTTTTTATTGTTTAGTTAAGGTTTAATGTCTCTTAGTGTTTTATTAAAATGTAATGAAAAAAAAAGAATTTACCAATAATTATATAGGGTGCTTCCAACTGAATTTTGATACTTATATGAAGAAAAAGTTATTTCCATATAAATATTAATATTTTTATAAGCATCCTGTATGTTATATTTCTTGTGCATTTAGGAACTATGATTTGAAAAGATTAGTTCTCGTTTTATGAATGTTATGAACTTGATGATGTAAATGATGAACTTGATAATGTAATTGATTTTGGAGTTGATATGTCTGTTGTCTGGAAGCTTCCCATATTTGTGAAGATTATGAAAGTGTATAGATTTTGTGACAGAAAGTCCAAGCAAAATATTGTCTTTCCAGATCGTGATCTCAAATTCTGACAGAAATCGTAATTCTCGAACTGCCACGGAAAAAAATCGATGTTGATTTCTGCATATGGAAAAGTCACATTATTATTTATATTGCCATAATTTAATTGGTCCTTTTGTTTATATTCCATCTTATATATGCTTATAAATTTTCTCTTGCAATGACTTAAATATTAAAACATTTTCTTATAAATATCCTTAACGTGTATATAAGTTCTTGCAATGTACTAGCCATTTGTACTGCGTCGAGATTGCAATTGCGAAATAAATCCAAGAGAAGCAGAATATATATAAACATTTAGCTCGATATCTTTAATTCAATAAAATTGAAGTTCAATATCTTTGAAAGATGAAAGTTAATTCTTATTGTAGATTAAAGGAATGCTAAATCATATTCATATTACTCACCGAATATCAATCTTTCTCTGTATTTTATTTTTTGTATTAGTTTGATAACCGATTTCTTTCAATAGAGTTACGTTTTTTTTTAGCACATTTACTCTTGTGTTATTTTTATTTTATTTTATTCGTTTTTTTCTTCCGGCTCGTAAACTAACAACTTCCTCTCAGTTTTATCCAAAGCTACATTATTTTGCTCTACATGATTGGGAAAAATATTGATTAGGAAAATTTTTTACGTGATCAACAACGGTCATAATTTTTCCCCGATTATATCGTACAGAGAACTAACAAGAAAATTCAGTAAAACTAAAGATTATTGCGAAGAAAAATGCACAAAGACTTATTGTGATATAAAAACTTTGAAATATTACAGAAAAATATGTATTTTAATTATGTTGTCTTCTAAATTCTAAAATATCACGAAAATATTTCGCAATGACTTCTATCGTTCTACTAAAAAACTTCTAGTTGCTTGCGCTTGGAGCATCTCTTTGATTTAAAAAACGAGCCCTGTCACTATAACGGCAACTGTCAGGATCGATAGATGGGGAATAAAAACGCCAGAACGCATCCTTCCTGTCTTGCAAATTTATTTGTTTTCGGCATGAAAACGAGTTGGTTCATAGATACCGTATAGTTACATACGCGCGTTCCCTCCCTCGTAAATAATGATCGATCAGCTTGATTACGCTAGTTTTTCGAGTATCGACCGGGAGCCCTATTTTTAACGCGGGATCGCAATTCAATCGATCGTTTAGTGCCATGGCGTTCGTATATTTTTCTCTCCTTTAAAAATATGCGCTACGTTCCTGTCGCCGCTATTATAATTAATACACGTGACGTATGTACATACTTCGCGTAATTGCACCCCACAATGTATGGCAAAACTCGTCACAACGCTTTCCTGCCGTTGATGTCGAAGTCTAATGGAAGATATTTATCGTTCCGTCGAAACGTCCCGTCGCTTACAAATTTATTGGGGTTACGCTTCCCTTCATCCTTTTCTTCGATTTAATTATCCTCTAAGTTCATCCTATCCTCGGAATTGATTAGATATTGACTACTTTCAAGATTCGTTGCGTGGGATTTGTTCATTTAGATTAAGCAACACGAACGATAGCACTCTTCCCTATTCTCTTAAAATATTAATAGTGATCATAATCGCACGTCGTAACTGACGCTAATTGTAGTTAGCAGCGAGTCGACTTCTCTCATTCTTGAAATATTTTCTTGCTGAATTTCTGTAACATAATTTTATTATTTTGATCATTGTTTATAGTATCTTTTAGAATAGCAGGTAAAAAAGGCTTGATTGACTTGATTGATAAAGTGCGAGCAAAAGGATCTTGATAAACACAAGTCCATAAAATAACAGTTTTCGCGATATTTTATTTATTTTTTAATTTATAAGTTACGTTCTTTATACGATCATACATATTATATATAGCGTTCGATATCTTAAAGAGTTCAGAGCGTCGACAAACAGAATAATTAATTTAATACGAAAATAACTGTACGTGTACAAATGTACACAACTAAAAGATTTGCTTTTATAGATTAGGTAGAGAAAAAAGTTGAGGAATAATATTCGATTAATAATTAGTGAGAAGAGCGAAATTATTACAATCAGTGTTAGATTCGAGGCGATTATATGTAATAATATTTTTCTAAGTCACATGTGACTCATTTATATAACTGTTATATATGAACGAGAATCGCCTTTTGTCCGGTATTTAAAGAGTTATGTCTCGCGAAAGAGTTGGCACAAGCTCAAATGGCTAGTTATGAGAAACGAACTCCTTCGTCAGGTGACTGCGCGCCGTATCCTGACGCAGGACGAGCACTATCGTTCGCGTGAATTTTTGTTAAGTGACAAACTCAACATCGTTACATCGTTCAAGTCTAGAAATCACAGAAGTGCCTGACTGTCTCGACGATCGTCACAACGTCATTACAATACCGACAACATACCATTTCGACGTGACATAGTTATAATTATACGTTACAGTCAAAAAGTTAAACCGTAAACATACAGAATTTGAAAGAGTTCCAGGATTCCAAGATTCAAGTCTCGGAGCTCATGTAAGGTTTTGAGAGTGCAAGATACTTTATTCAATGTTTCATAATCCTGAGAACGTGCAATCTCCAAAATTCAGGTCCCGAGGATACTCCAAGTTCTGAGCGTTTGTATTTTTTAAATGATACGCAATTTTAAATTTGTATATTCAACATTAAATCGACACTCGCTCACGATCTCAAAATTGTAAAACGCCGCAGAGCTTCGAGGACACCATCAAAACTTGCATTTTGATGAATACTAGATGACAAGGAACTCTCTAAGGATTCAAAGGATTCGTGCTCTTGATGAACCAGCATTGCAAAAATCGGAATTTCAAACTAAAGATCGTCACCTTTCCGGGACTTACAATTGCATATATTTCTTGAAAGAAAAATGAAAACGTCAGAAAACAATGTAATTATAATTATAACTATAAAAACGTTCATCAAACTGCATGTAACGCTTACATTGTCCTTGGGGCAACGATGTAAAGTACTAACATGACACTCTGTGTGTTACATCCTTGTGAACTCGACTCGTTGAGTCGGCTCGATATCGAAAGGATACACAGAAGATGCAGCGTAGAAGGAGTCCTTCAAGAGGATCCTCCCAACGTCCCTCTAGGCGATCGCTTTGCGAATCGCATGAGTCTCGAAGTATCATTTATAGCACGAGTACAGACCTGACAAAGTCTGAGAATCGTATATAGGGGTATATCATGAGATTGCATATGAACAAGCGTGAACAGGACATCCTGTGATCGGGAAATACGCGTGAAAACTAAAATATCCGAACAATTTCGCGAAGTGCGTTTATGGAAATTAGAAGGAGCTTATAAGAAAGCAATTTAACACGGTGACTGGAAAAAGGACACATATAAGCTAAGATCTAAAGATTGTGTGAAGAGAATCAGCTTAAAGTCTTTTAAAAAAAAGTCGTCTTATAAAATACTGTCAGCCAGTTACAACTCTATCGACTACTAATCAGGTTGGACCACGAAAGCATCCTATTGGATAAAATAAAGACAAATATTCTTTACATTCATTTGTTACGTTCTACATATGATTTGTTAATGTGTTCTTTTCCTTAGACACCACCTTAATTACAGCTTACTAAATATAATACTAAATATAATGGGAAAAGTTTCTAAAGTTGTTCGCTAAAAATTACAAACCGATTTTCTTTAAAAATTCGCGAGAGCGATGTTGTAGATTTCTCTTATCCTCTGTTTCTTTTCATCAATCATAATTTCTTCGTTTTTCTTTTTTATTCACGCAGTGAAAATAAAATTTAGCTGAGGCAAAAGTATTGATATCAAATGATGCATTTCTTTTAGGATCGGCGGGCAGTATCTTGTGTTTCTTTCTACATCGTATTTTATTTCTAAATGTGCTTCATTGAAATTTCGATTGGCAGATAATGACAGCGTCGTATTATTGAATGTTTGGTGAATCAGCATTAGTAAGGTCATTGTAGGGTATCGATCTGACAGTGTTAATAAATGTTGGAATTTTGGAAGAACATCCATGAATCCAAGGTTCCAAAACAGCATCTACAAATTCCGAGATTTCTAGTCCAACCCAGAATTAGTTCAAAGTTCGAGAGATCTAATGCTTTTAAATCTATTATTTTAAGGATCAAACATTCCGGAATTTATAATTCTGACTGAAAAGTTATAAATATTCAGAGTCTAATAAAGATAATAATTAAACAGTTGTGAAGCATAAGCCAGCTTTCAGAAACGGAGGTTTCAAGAATACTAAGTTCTAAAAAATTTAAGATTCTAAAAGTAAAGAATTCTTAAAAATGGAATTTTAATTATATGAGATTCTTGAATCTTCAAAGCGCGCACTAAAGATCAAACATTCCAGAATCCCTGATCGAGAAGTCCCCAAGACACTTCCAGTCTTAAAGGTGCATATAAAGTCGCGAAGATTCGGGTTTCAAGGAACCAAGGTTTCAGAGTCCACATATGTATTGAAAGTCGATCAACGGGAGATGGGAAATCGGCTGGAGCGTTAATAGGAACGCGTTAACCGGTCAACGTGCCGCGAATTTCCGTTCGCCGCGATTGGCATGCGCGCGATTAACATAGTTAGTCGATTCGTTAGCGGAGTCTAAAAAAATATCGATAAGTCTCATCGTAAGAAAAGTTCGCTTTCGGTGCTTCGTATAGTATCAAAACCACTTTAGCCCTACGAAGTTTCTATCGCGATGATGCACTCGCACGCCTTTAACAGTGCGTCTTCGTCCTTCCTAATGAATGTGTTTCAGTTAATCATATGTTTTACTTTACTTTATTTGTATATATATTTTTTTATATATATATATATATATGTACGTAATTATACGTCTAATTTGTGCCTTGTCCTATGTCCGCCGTCGTAAAGTAATCGAGACTAATTAGTGGTAACAACTTACACGATATCATATTAACTGAGTTAGAGTATATGTATGTATGTATGTATTCACACTCATATACACACACACACATATATATATATATATATATATGAGTGTGAGTATGTGTATGTTTGTATATATATATATATATGTATATATATGCATAGATCTATTGCCCTAAACCTGTAGGGAAAAACTTTTTCTAGTCGTTAATAGTAGTCCGTTTTGTTCCAAGATCGTGAATATATTATTAATGGTATGGTATCATGTGCATGATGAAATGGGAAAGTATTATAGTTGCGTCGTATGTTGCAAACAATACCGAGTTGTAATGGCGAAGATGTATAGTGTCCAGCGATGTTGAATATCGATGGCAAAGATCATAGCGCATCATAACGCGTTCAATGACGTTGCATCTCAATGGCTCTATAATGAAAATTATAGAGCACTTTACATATGGATGGAAATTTGCGTCTACATTCGCGTAACGCCGTGATGGCGATGATGACGTCCCAAGATTTTATTTTTTGTCCAGACTTCATCCTAAAATTTAATTCTTCAATATTTTCTAAGGACTAAAATTTTTCGAAGAATTCAGGACTCACTGCAACAAACCAAAGTCGAGACAATGTTCTAAATTCAAAGTTATCTAAAGACGCGTGGTCTAAAATGCCCGAGATTTCATGGATCTAAGGTCTTAAAGAAAGTTGTAAGAACTTGTAAAAATTCGAGACTTTAATTATAGGGTTATAAGATCCTAAAGGAGCTAAAATTTCAGAATTCCTCAAGGACTTAAGATGGCAAACTGCGTGCATGCACGCACGCACAGACACACATCAGACACACAAACGCATATTTAAATACAGACGGACGTAGTCGGAAATAGAGGCACACGCGCACGCACATATTTGAAAGTTCGAACGATCGAAATTCCCAAAGAATTCCGAGTTCTAACGCGATTCACGTATCTAAGAAATAAAAATTCTAAAATTCCCGATGCCAAGATTAAAAAGTTCGAAGGTCGGAAGAGATATTTGAAGTGCCAATCTTCAAGGTTCTATATTTTCCGATTTGGATCTTTCAAATCGGCGATGGTGTCGAGCGACTAAAACTAGACGAATTAGATATCGGTGTTCTAATGAGAGTAAAGAAAATTTCTGAGATTTTTGAGATTGTTTGAACGAGCGTAGTGATGATGACGACGATATTAACAGCACAGGTCTAACAACAATGCATGTTACGCTGCGTCTTATGTGTGTTCTTCGAATGCTCTCAAAATATTGAAAGAGAGATAGAGATAGAGAGGAAAAGAGAGTTCGTTAAAAAGAACGTTTCCTTAATACATGGTCGCTAGATCACCCTATAGATTAATAGGTAATACATTATTTTAATAATTGTTGGTCATTTTACGTAACAGTTACACGGCGACAGCCCGCTAGGTATAATGTTGGTATAAGAGCTCTGTAAAGTGTCTGAGAGTTAAAACCGTTTAAACGCTACCGTTATTTATCGTCATGACGATAATTCGTAATAATCATAACAATAACAATCATAAACGAATATAGATAGTAATAACCGTAATGCTCATATAAATTCGCCCGAGACTGCGCTCGCGCGCACTTAACTTTTTTTCTGTTTTTTGTTTCATCTACTTTTTCGTTAGCTAATTGCGTGTAAAGAGTTCCAATCGATCACCGTTTTCGATCCTCGACTCTCTCTCCCTTGAATTTTTTCGCCCTTCGTGTGAAATATCGCGTCACGGTTGGCCCTTAAAAAGTGCGCATGCAGTCCTCATCGCGTCGCGAAATTATTAATCGTTCGCGATTCCAGTTATTGTTGCAATAAACTAATAAGAGAAAAGGAACCGTTCCACTTTCTGTGTTCGCGTACATTAAATCGAGATTTGAGAACTCGGTAATCTACGAACCCGAGAGTCTAAGAATTTGAAAATTCTTGGGTTCAATATTTTGAGAATGTAAAAATTCAGTCCCACATGTCCCATTAAATAAAGAATGCAAGACTTTGAATTTTTATGAATCCCGTGTTCTAGACAAACAGTTAAGTTTTCGTGACATCATGTAAACTTGTAATTGCGTAAACTGGGATTTTTGCAGATCTATTTCCATAGAATTTTTCCAGAGTTCTAGCGTATATAATAATGAAAACTTTAAAGATTTCAAATTCTAGGGATTCGTAGTTTTTTCACAAATAAAAATTTCGAGAACCCATAGTGTTTCAAACAACCATAGCTCCAAAGACTTACGGATGTAAGAATTGAAAATTCCATGGATCCAATGTTCTCAGGTCTGCGCTCTAAGCGCAGTTCGCGACGAATGCATTTTTTTTCCAGATTGCGTTTCCTTTTTCCATTCGATTCTTTTATCAAGAAAGTGACCTCACGTAGCTTCGCTACATCGAAGAATTCGGTAATCATCTATATACTCATGGTATTACCTACTAACAATATCATAGAGTCGGTGTCTATCGCCTAAAGATCCAATATTGAAACCGTTTTATATTTTTACGTTTTTATACTTGGCATGGTCTTCCTGGCACCATAATGCACTTTTAAGAAATCTATATAAAAATATCGTAGAGTTGTCGTGTCCAGTGCGTTTAGTCGCGCGCGAAAGAGGAATGCTTCTTGAACAGGATGTAAACAGTGGTTGAAAGTAAATAATGAAAAACAGCGAGAAGAAAGATGAAGAAAGGAGGGAGGAGGGAACGCCGGAAAAGTTCAGGAAGAATTGATTAAAAGAAACTAACACTGGAAAAAAACAGGCGAGTTGGACATTAGTCGATCGAAAATTTCTGTCGGGTAAAAAGATCGAATAAATGAAGAAGTTATCTTCGTTCCCGCGCGCGAGATAACTTTTTTATTCGAATTCCGAATGGAAATTTATTCTAATTTGACAAGAGGCGATTTTTTGCTTTTTTTATTCGAAGATGAAACGTTCTATTCATTACAGAAGAAAGCTTTCTAATACATTTTTCATCTCTTTCGCTTATATCTGTGAATAAATCATCCATCGAATAATTCTCAGATTAACAATAAGTCAGATAGATATAGGTTATTATAAAACTAATTAAAAGTTTAACACAGCCTTTTTTATGGAAAAAGAGGAGAATTCCTATGAATCCTTTTGTTATATTAATATGTCTAATTGTCTTTACGACAGGATTGCCGTCGTGTAATCTATCATGTGTACAAACTATAAAAACAAAGGAAATATGTCATAATAACACGTAAATTTTTTAAAGAAGTCAATAAGAGATATTCTTTATTATTTCCTAATAAAATAACCTCTACTCGAATGAATATTTTTAATTTAATAAAGATTAGCAAAGTGTATTTTCTCTTATCATATGTTCTTTTGTTAGATGGAAAGTCTGCCCAACTGTGAGAAAAAGGGAAGGAATGAAGGGAGAAAAGAAAGAAAGACAGAGAGAGAAAGGGACAGTATATGAGAACGTTGTGAAATTTGTGTCTGTTTTGGTCCCGTTTCGCGTTGCGATTAGCCGCGAAACTACGCTTTCGAAATGAAACGATGACGGACAAGACAAACCAGGTCCCAGCTTTATCCGCGTTAGTGAGCTTTTTCCGCGTGAGCTTTTTCTTGTGAACGAACGGTCGAAGATATTGAAGGCGGCTCGACCGATCTTTCCCCTTCTGCGACATTAATTAATAGAAATTGATGAAGTTATCAGTTAAATCTGAATAAATTTGATGTTGTTAATAGTGCTAAAATACTAACACTAATGACTAAATACCACTAAAACACTTCCAAAATAGACTTAGGGAAATTAGAAGATGGCCAAATAAATAAAGATTTTTTCTGATTAGAACGAAATGTTTTTTATAAAAAACAAGCGATTTTATTCTTATATAAAACGAGTACGTGCTAATTCTTTTATCTTGATCCATTTGTTTTGCAGAGAATAATTTAAGAGGTCTAAATTAACTAAAGGTTTTCCGCACACGTTTTCTAAAACTTTCATGTCCAGTTTCACACTAAAGGGATCAGAGCTGTTCGAGCTCGCCTTGAAGAACCTCGATAAAATCTCAGTTGTCGCGTGTCGACCAATACGGTTATGGTTGCGCTAACAAACACCGTCGTGCCGGTGCATTGAGATCTGAACATCTTCGGGACAAATCGCGTCGGAAAGAATGAACATACGCGCTGCGTTATGGCCGCGAATTATGTACATTGTGTTCCGGAAGAAATCGAGCAACTTGCGCTGGTAAATCCAGGCTCTTCAGATCTGAAGTCGATCAGTCGTTAATTTTGTATTCGGTTCTTTTCGGAACACCCTGCACTTTCGACGCACCAGGCCTCTTCATTCACGAAATAACGTTTCTCCTGAGCCGAATGACTATTGGAGACTAATTTCTCCGAATTATATCTTGAACGATGATATATATATATATATATATATATATATATATATATATATTTATTTATATTTATATATATTTATATTTATATATGAGCAAAAATAAAATAATATAAAAATAAAACGTGTGATAAAATAATAATTATTATAAAATAAATAATGTTAATGTTAATGTTAAGTTCTTCTGGGAAACTTACATTTCTTATATGGGACTTGCATAATCGTAAATCAACAATACAAGGATATTTGAATGACGAGACACGGTGAATAAAAAAGCCTGGTAAACGCCTCCGAACGGGAAGTCGTTGGCAAATAAGTAGTTTCCCATTGTCTGGTCGATCCGTTTAATTAAGCCTACCCCCCGCGCACCGCGCTATCTCTTCGCGCGATAGCTGCCCCATTATAAAAAATCTTCAACCCCCCTCCCTCTTCCCCTCAATGGAAAGCAGCCGCTTTTGTACCCGTGCGCCATGTACAAGTATACATTAACAATATAATATCCTATGTAACCTACGGACGTTAAAGCGGATAAGATCACTTTGCATTCTCCCTCTATTCGTTTTGCGGACACCCGTCGGGTTCATACCGGCTCTTAAAGCGCGCCTTTGGATGCCATCCAGCAGGAAAAATCTCCGGTGCAATGTATAAATTCATAAATAACCTCGTTAATTTCTCATTTCACCGATGAGTAGGCCGAGAAGGATGATGACCGGTAAGCGGTAGAGGATAATTAAAAGAGAGGTAACAGTCAAAATAATTAATAATTAATATCGTATCAAGTCCGTATTGGTATCGCATGTTCAATCATTAAATATGACCGTGTGTTTTTAAGTTTCGTTAAAAATGGCCACTACATAGCAATAATTAATTAATTCAATGTACATTCAGTACAATACACAGTAATAATTAGTTCAATGGCCAATACACAGTAGTAATTAATGTAAGTAACAAAAATTTTAGCTTTTAGCTACTGAAACATCAAAGATTATAGATGATGTATGGCACTTAATTATTTGCTTACCTCGTACGAGGCTCGTTATACAAAGTTACCTCAAACTGAGAAGCACAGACGGTCACGCTTAGCTCTGAACGTGAGGTATGAATACGGGCCTTAGTGCTCAGCAGCTAGAGTGGGAGACCTTTTGAGCACTCCCCGACTAGCGTGGTTAAGGACAGTTTAACTTCATTGCACACGGGCTTTAAGAGCCAGCTTGATTCACCTCCGGGCTAATCCTTGTCCGCACATGCTCTTCTTATACACACACGTTGTGCCCGTCCGCGCTCTTCACGAGGTATACAGAGATACAAGGTGGAATTTCTGTGTCGAATGTACATTTAGTTATTAAGAAAACAGTTATTCAGGCACGCAAGTTGGGCAGGGGAGCAGCGCGCAGCCAGTGGAAGAAGCCGCGCGTACCTCGAGAGTTCCTCTCCTTCTCGTCCGTTACGGGGATCGATCGATCAATAGAGACCGGTCAATCCGGTTGTCCGATCCGTTTGCCAAATATGGACCGTGCCGATTCTTCGTTTTTGTCATATTTTGCACTACTTCTAACCATTTAACTGTGTACTTGTATAATATCCCAACCTCTTGATTGCATACTTTCATCGAAATTGGCAAGCGAAACTTGGGGGCTGGAAGGGATTCGATAAAAACGGCTGATCAAAGTAGGCGATTAAAGGGTTAATGTGAATAGGATATCGAGAGATATAACCAAACCAAATATGATGGCTACTTCTAACAGTGATTTCCCAATTTCAAATAAAATATCGTTTTTGTGACCTGAATGATGAAGTTTGTCGTCGACAGTGCTACTTTGTTCGACTTTACTATCAGTTCTGCTTTTTCAGAGCAGATCTTAAAAAGTTTGCGGGAAATAGGATTAGATGTTTGAGGAGTTTGCTGGAGGAAAGATGAATGCCGAGTGTATGAGACTCATGGTAACTATGTTAAGAACACGCATAGAGTGGCACTTGGACAGTTCTTGCCTCCGTCCTCCTCCTTTCTTCAACCCCAATCGCGCGATACTCTGCACGCCACGCAGCTTTGACTGAATTTTGCTGCGAGCGTGACTTCTTCAGAAGGAACTCGAAGGTACGCGCAGGACGCAAGAAGGCCCATCGTTAGACGAGTTTCACACGAAAAACAGACCGCGGTATCGCAATCTGGTCACTACAGAACTCTCACTTAGAGCAATGCTTCTCCACACAGCATCCGACTATCATATCTCCAGGCTGTGGTCCATGCGAAAGCGAGAATCATAGGTCATGAACGGAAAAGTGCTTTATGTATACGTAGAAAAAACAGGCTTCGACTTTTTAATGTGGGTTTCGAAATAATCGCCAAGGAGGATGCCAAGGAAATTTGTACGCGTATACGCTCGCGGCGAACTAATTTACGCATCTGTGCGCAAAATCCACTGTATATAGCTCGATGTGTAGTCGTTCGCGAGGAACAACCGTGTCTAAAATAGAAAGCGGATCCCATAGTTGAAACTATCTTGCTGTTAGTTTTTGCACTTTTTCCTTTTTTTCAACGAAAACACTGACGAGACCAAGACAACGACTACCGTAATAGTGCGACAAAAGTAAACACAGACCGTTCTATTATAGTGGACCGTTGCGGATATAAACATGGCTGACATAGAGGGGGAAACACCGCTCTAGACGGGAGTCTTTTTCACGTTCGTTTGTGCGAAGAATCAAACCTCCGATCGACCGACCGACTGACCGACCTTCGTATTCGATCGTAGTGCGATTATATCCCGGCAGTATACTTATATACCGATCATAATGGTGCACCGTGACGGTGACACTAACCGCAGTCTGTGATACGCGGAAACCAGCCTCAGGAGGGGCCTTAATACGAATGCTGCGGCTGCAGAGACGAGACTCAGCTGTGCGCCGACGTGTCCGAGCCTTGGCTGTTGCCTAGCCCACCCATGCCGGCCTGCGAGGTGAGCCTGGTGACCGACTGCGAGGTTGTAGCGGTCGCCGTGGCGGAGTGGCTGAGGCCATGATGCCTGCCGGTTTCCGGCACCAGGTGGGGCGTGCGGCTGGAGACGGGGGGAAGGACCGGACTGACCGGCCACGGGTGTAGGGACATGGTGCTGGGCGCGCTGGGTACACTACGCGAGTGTGGCAAGAGGGGTGAGTTGGAGAGACTAGCGAGAGGGTGGTGTGCCGACGTGCTACCGCCAGAGACGCCCAGGTTCGTCCCCGACGAAATCGCACCACCACCGCCGCCGCTGCCGCTGCCACCACCGCCACCGGAAGTCGCCATTGCCACCGCCGTGTCTGGGTGGAGGAAGTTACGCCGCTGCTCCATCCGTTCCGCGTGCTGGGCCAAGCAGCGGGTCAGCACCTCGGGCAGCAGCTCCAGCTGACCCTGCAACGATGTCAGCTTCTCATCTAGGCCGGCCAGACGGCTCTCCACGCTCTCCAAACGCCCTTCCAGCGCGTCCTGTCGCGTGCTCATGTCCGAGACGATCTCGTAGACGTTGGTCTGCGTCTGTCGGAGCGGATCAGATAGTACAACTGTCAGCAACGGCGAAAGTAATCGAAAACGATTTTGTCCTTAATCGTGGGGTTGGCTCTACGATTGTCGTATTCAATGAATATGGTGTTAATATATAATATAATATGGTTTGCCTCACGCGAGCACTGCGAAAGCGTTGAATTTTGTTAGAACATAGCGAATGTATAGGAAACACTACTGTGACAGTGCCGATTTTCACGATAAAAAAGGATTTCATCAAAAAAGCACTTGTTTGTGGAAAAGCTACTTTGCTTGGGCAGCGACCGGAGCTTTTCCATCGTAATCTTGTTCAATATTCTATCCCTTTCACTCGCTGTTGCAATATTCTAGCTTCGAGCTTTACAAGCGAAAGAGTGGTTCTTCTTGTTAGCGCCAATTCTCACCTTGGCCATGTCCGTTATGGTGCTGGAGTTGTCTATCAATTTACGCTGATCCATTTTCACCTTCCTGAGTCTGAAAGTTTGACGATAGAGTGCAATTATGTGCTAGGCTACTGCGATGCTCCGCGTTCTAATCGCGGCCGATGTAGTATCGACTTACGCGTATATAGCCAATAGGAATTTCCGTTGATGGGTCCGCACGCGTCCGGGATTGACGCGCTTCACCAAGCGGGTGTGCTTGTAAATCAGCCACGTTTCCCGCAATACATTTGCTGCGGCGTTCTTCAACTGAAACAAATCAGCAAATTGTCATTGTAGCTTCATCAACAATAATTTTCTTCGATTTTTGGACACATTATATTTGTATAATTACATTTTACTTACGTTTTAGACAGTTAAATAATATTTTGAGGAACATTTTTATCGAAGAGTAATCAATATTGGCGTTACGAAACCGTTAATGTATTTTTACTTTGTACTAACAGTGTTTAGAAGTGTCTGGGTATTCGATTATTACTTGGATATTCAAGTTTTTCGAGTATTTTTAAGGTTTTGAAGATGATTATTATATTATTTATCTGATTACCTGTGTAGTGTAATTAATGCATATTATAACACCTTAGAAATGTGAAGAGGAAACTTATTTAATGCGAAGCCAGTTGCTATAAAAATCAGTGATAGATAATAGATATTATCTGCAATTTTCGTATTTCCGAGTACCCGGCTACCTGGTTATTTCTGATAATATCTAAATACCTAGGTAGTACTCACGAATTTGATCAAATTGGATAGATAGCCGGCTATCTGGAAAACTACCTTATATCGACAGTACATCTTTAAACATTATTTTTGAAAAGATTATGTTTTTAAATTGTCGAGATCTATCATGCAAATATGTTTGAGAAAAATACGTGTGTTTGCGTGTAGTAAATTTTATGTGATCAATGAAAAACGTTTCGAAAGAGTTGACATTTGTTCTGTTACGGCTGATGGGATCAGATCGATTCCACTTATGCAATGACGTGAAAAAAGCGATATGCATCCGAGGGTGCATATAAAGCAGCGTAAAAAGACTCGTCGATACGGCCACGCGTATAGCTCTACGTTACCACTCCTTGATATTTGCAAGGTTTATAAATAACGTTGGCTAATAATTATTTCAGTAGGTATGTGGTTGAAGGCTTCGATCCAGGGATGGAGAGAAGCGGTCGTATTTATGCAAAACTCACCAAGCGTTGTAATTCGACGAATCAATGCTCTATCGCGTGGAATATTTAGAAATTTTTGCAAATTTCAAAATATTTTGGTTTCAATATATTAATATGTTTTAATATATCAAGAATATTATATAAGTATGATATAATAATAATTTTAATTATATGTTTTAGAATATATACAGTTTGTCGAAATTCTTTATATATATACATTTATAATGTCTTTCTGAATTTTCCGGACTTAAAGTTTCACAATTTTTTATAATTTTTATATTTTCTGTTGCTCTTCAAAGTTGAATTATTCTATCTTGAATTTTGCATCCTCTATATTGTGTGTACAAAGATTTGTGAGCTTATATTTTGGGATCTCTTAGTTTGTAATTCTTTCCAAAAATTCTAATCGCAAGTATACAATTTTTTAACTTATAATTTAGGATTAATAAAATGTGACAGCGAATTATGGCGAACTATTGTTGTTATGAAATATTGTCGAAATGTGACCGAAATTTTCCGTGCGATATCATCGGAAAGTACTCGCAGGTTCTATTACTTTACGATTTACTTGGGAATGTCTTTTGAATCTTTCTCTTTGGAAGTTTAGTGGGATTGAATCGATCGATGCCACGCTCTTTTCACGACGATAAAGGCTAAAATGACAATGACACATTAACCGATTTCCTCGTTCCAAGTCTCTCGGTCCATTGCCTGGACGGAAGATAACAACACTTTTTACTCTGTAGCAGGCACTTTTTCTTATTCACCTAACCTAGAACTAGTAGAAAAGTTTGAATTCTTGAACTTTGACACACCTTTGGATTTGCGAAACTCCTAAATTTCGAAGACTTAGGTTATTAAATTTACGAATTTAGATTATTTACATGTCAATCTTTGACTTTTTAAGAAGTTACGAATTTTTATTTTATTTTTATCGCTATGCTTTTAGCACATATTGTTTTATGATTTATGATTTGAAAATTTCTGATCATTGGATTAAAAAACTCGATGATCACAGAATCGGCATGTGTGTACAAAATCCAGCATTATGGAAGACTTTGAATATTGACGTTTTTGAACGCCTCTTATACTCACTATTCTAAGTTTTGAGCACTACGATATCAAAGTCGAGGATTCAGATTATCAACGAAAGAAAATCAGTTTTTCTTAAAGGTCATAGCGACTTTGCCAAGCGACTTCGAATAGGTTGCTTATTTTCGAGGCAACCTTCTTCGTAGTGGGATACTTTCTTATTATATACCTCAGCCGGAAAATTACATTGCGCATATTGGATGATCGGAAATTCCCGCATTCGGAGTGCAGGACATGATACTTTATGCTAAAACAAACAACTTTTTTTTTTAGCAAAATTTTGTCCGACAAGTAGTCTTTGCGAGCGTGTTAAAGTTAACGAATAAGCGGTCTTGTTTAAGCGGCACTCAGGGCCGGCGCGCATGCCTTACTCGCGTATACCTAGTCCGTAACTGGTATTCATAAGTAATGTCTTTTAAGACGCTCATACGACTCTGTTTTGATTAGTTTACAACGTCTTAAGATTGTACTTAAGACAATCTTAAATAATAAGAATCAACTATGAACAATATCAGAATTTAATCTTCTTCCGTATTGTGTTGCTTAAATAATGAAAAATTAATAAGTACTGCTTTTATTTTTTACGTAATAAATGAATAAAACATTGCGTGACACTGTACAATATCATCTGAAAATAAAGACAAATGTAAATAAAGACAAATGTAAAGATAAATGTAAAGTAATATGCTTTGCGAGCTGTGATTAATTCTGGTTAAATTTTGATATTGTTCATAGTTGATTCTTATTATTTAAGATTGTCTCAAGGCTCCTGGCCCCTCGCATTGTCTATCTCTTTTTAATGACATCAAAAGCGAGAAAATGCATGCTAAAAATTCTTGCGAAATATGTTAAAATAAAAATATATATCTATAAAGTAACACTTACAATCGATTAAACAAATTTGTAAGATATTCCGTGCACTCCTCTTTTGCTTTAACAATCAATAATTTGTCGTAAATTAACGTGACATACAATTCATCTTCTTAACCTATTTCTTTGCCTATTTATATTCAGATTAATTTACAATAATTGACGTCATTAAAAAGAGATAGACAATACGAGGGGCCAAGAGCCTTAAGTACAATCTTAAAACGTTGTAAACTAAACAAAACAGAGCCATATGAGCATCTTAAAAGACATTACTTATGAATACTAGCCACGGACTAGGTATACGTGAGTGAGGTGCGCGCACCGGCCCTGAGTGCCGCTTAGACAAGACGGCTTATTCGTTAATTTTAACATGCTCTCCTGCAAAAACTACTTGTCGGACGCAATTTCGCTAAAAAGTTTTTTGTTTTAGCATAAAGTATCATGTTCTGTACTCCGAATTTCCGATCACCCAATATATAGAGAGAAAATGATATCTATCACATTCTCATTACGTATTTAATTCACTTTTCTGATTCTTACGAAATATCGACAGCGAGTATAATTTGAAGAATATAATTTCAAAAGCTTCCCCTATGCTCACGGTCACTATAATTTTTTTTTTTAAGAGATTCTATGTTTTTTTGAAACTCAAGAAATTCACGGATTTTCGTTACAGTCGCAATTACAAGCGCCACGACAAAAACTCAAAGATATCAAAACCATGTCCTTCGTCCTTAAACAAACGTGATTCCGAGACTTTTGTAGATTCTAGAGAAATTTCCAAAAGTTTCTCAGAATCTTAAGAAGTTTACCAATCACGAAATCGCCAATTTATTTCTTCTTCTATTCCATTTCAAGACATTATACTTCTTTTTTTAGAGTCATTGTCATCTCAATATCCATATCGTCCCGAAATCAAATAAGAATTGCGTCCGAGAAGATTCAACATAATTTCTCTTTCTAGTTACTTTTATGACGTCGTTTCGCTGTAGGAACTATAGCTCTGTCAGCTATGCATATTATTAAAAGTTATTTTTTTGTTTTAAAAACTTTGGTGGGTCAAAGAATACATAAAGAGCATAGCTCGTTAAAAAGAACAAAATATAACTCTTTTTGACACTTCGAGTTTCACTCTTCGTGCTATTTTTTACGAATTATTTAATTAAGATTACATTTGTATGAATAAATATATATAATAGCATTATTTCACATTATCCACTTATCATTTCACGTGAATTGTGTTTAATTCTCTTTGTATCAGGTGACTTTATTAAATTTAGCAATGTTCAAAGTATTATATCTTGTTAGCGAAGTTTTTTGTTAGAATATTCGCAAACTAAAGCTCAAAGCAGAACTCTCGCGTTACTTAAGCGACTTTGCGAACTGGTTGCATGTTCAAAGAAGAACAATTCTCGCAAGGGAGGTGTATTTTGTGGTAGACGATCGTATCCCTTCATTAGTAAGGTATATGCTATAAGAGTAACGAATAAAAGTATTCTTTACAAGCATGCATTCTATGATTAAATACTACACAGATTTCTAGGATACTACGAAAGTTTTTATTGCTTCTAAAATTTACGTTAATATACTAAAATATTAAGAAATGATTCCTACGGTTTTTTTACACTTCATAATACCACTTTGTAAATAAGTATTTATGAACAGGAGCAACGATCTTACCCTCTTCGTTAATTGTGTGTCCATCATGAAGTTGTGCACGTGTTTCTCCGCACGCGTAAGCTCGAGCTTTCTGGAGACGACCGCCACCAATAGAGCTGTGCATCCGGCGCCCTAGGCATCACGAAAGTTCGATTTGTAATTAGATATAATCACTGTCGATTTGTGCTGGTGATATTTTTACTTGATCCTTACAAATACTTTATTTAAATAATTTATTTATTTTTTTCGCGCGAAACACTAGATATAAAGTTCCACGAGCCGATTCAGAGATTATTTATCCTATTTCGATGGAGGACACGCGATGTCTGTGACGCTGGAAAACGACTGCTATCAGCCGCTTCACATTCGCTGTCCCGAAATTAATAGCCAGGATTCCAGACAGAGACTGGGCAATTTCGCGCAATTTACGAGAAGCGTTGTACGCGCAAGTGCACATGGAACAGCGAGATAGCGAAAGGGAGATGAAGATAGAGAGAGAAGAGAGAGAGAGAGAGAGGGGGGGGG